CTAAATAATCTAAATCCTTTTGTAAATCAGCAGCATTCTCTTCACAGCTAGCAACACTCGATACCTTAATATCCTCAACAAATTTAAGTAATTTATTGACCGTATCTTCATCTATAATCATTGATTTAAATTAAAAAAGAGCAAACGTCCTAAGACTGAACCCTGACTGAACTCCATTTATAAACAACCCTCTGCTTTCTTCCATCCAGCCAAATACTATCCAATTAGCTAACTTATCCCCCATACCTAAAGATATAATTTTTTTCACAAGCATTTTATGTGGCACCTTGTCAAATTCTTCCTGAAAATCCAGACACACCAAATCTCTCACTCTCATCTACATAAACAGTAACCTTTTTAAAGAATGTCAAAAGATTTTCATTTAATGAAACCATGTTGACTGTCCAATAAAATTCAAAACTTTGTTAAATGACTTTGCAAAACATTTTTTATTAGACTTTCCAAACTTTTTTCCCACAACTGATGTAAAACTAATAGGCCTATAATTACTGGGATAATTTTTATTAGCTCCCTTGAAAATAGGAGTGACATTAGCTAACTTCCAATCCTTTGGCACCTGCCCACTTTCAAGGACTTACAAAAAATAGTAGTAGGTGGCTCACATATCCAGTTTTTAACCTCCTTCAAAACCCTTGGGAAAATATTATCTGGCCCAGATGCTTAATCATTCTTTAAACAACCCAGTTTTTCTTAACAAGCTCAGAATTAATGCAGTCATCTTGTTTAACCTTGTTTCCATCTATCAACTGTTCAAGATGAGGAATACTGCTTATGTCTTGATTAGGAAAAACTGAAAAAATAGCAGAATTTAATAATCCAGCCATCTCATAATCAGATACAAGCCTTCCTTTATCATCCCTCAAGGGTCCTACCCCCGTCCTAACATTTTGTTTACCCTTAATGTATTTAAAGAAACCATTATCTTTACATTATCTGCCAACTTTTTTTTATACATCCTTTTCGATGTCCTAATTTCCTGTTTTACCAACTTCTTTATCTTCTATAATCTTCAAAATCTCCCGTTGTATCAGTCAATTTAAATTTCTTGAATTTGTCATAATTTTCTTTAATCTTATCTCTTTATACTCTTTGTGAGCCAACCTAGTTTTTTACTTGCAGCCACCCTTTTCTTTCTATAAGGAATATGTTTATCTTGAATAGTTAGTAATTTTCCACATCTGTTCAGTGTCTCCAAATAACTCAGCCCCCAGTTCCCAACAGATAATCCTTGTTGCATTCCTATAAAACTTGCTTTTTTGAAATTTGTAACCAAAATATCATTATTCCTGATCTCCATATGCAGCAAAACATCAAACATAATAGATTAATGATCACTTGCACCCAGATGTTCCCTAATTCCCACCCTCTCAACAATCTTTATATTAGAAGTTAACAATAAATCTAAAATAACATTGTTTCTAGTAGGTTCCTTGACCAATTGGTGAAGAAAACCATCTTGAAGAGTTTCCAAAAACCTTTCTCCCTTGTAGTTTGACTCTAGCTTTTTCCAGTCTATGTCTGAAATTATAATCACCCATAATTATGATTTCATCAGTACCATCTGGTGGTTTGTAACAAATTCCAACTAAAAGCATTTTCCCTTTATATGGGATTTATATGGATTCAACAAGATGTTACTCACATTTCACATATAAAGCCACCCCTCCCCTCTCTTTAGTAATCTGTCTCTAGTAAATAACCTATAGCCCTGTATTTCAAAACAATTTCTGTCATCAAAATCTGCTACATTTAACGAAGTTTTAGTTATTCCCATTATATCAAAATTTTCCATTTCTACCAGTGCCCTAAAGTTGCCTATTTTACTTCTTAGAATTCTAGCCTTACAATATAACAATTAAGCCTATTCTTAGAACTACTTCTATACTCATTTCCTATGCTAAACTTCTCTCTATATCTTATTTTGTTGCATTTAGTTTAACGTGACCCTCTCCATTCTTTAGTCCTAGTTTAAAACTGTTCTTACAGCTGAGTTAATAGCCCTTACAAACAAGCCAGACCTTACTCTATTTAAATGTAAACCATCCATTCCAAAAAGCTCCCTTCTCCCACTGAACTGATTCCACATGTCCAACTAGTCAATCCATTCATCCTTACATACTAACCTAAGCCTAGCAATCAGCCCTAGTGACCTACTCATAATTTCATCCCCACATTTAATTCTTGGCAGTATACCTGACACAGTTAAGTTATGGCCTTTTTCTTTAAATGCCTTTGTCAACCCCTTGTACTTATTACTTAGCTTCTCTGACCTGCCTTTCCCTAAATCACTAATCCATACATGCACAACAAAGACTGAATCGTTGCTAGTCTCCTTTATTATGTCTCTTGCTCTGTCAGTTATATCCTCCACCTGTTCATCTGTCCTGTGAAAATACTGTGGAGCTTATGTAAACATCAACTTTGTACATAAATAAAAGAGAATGTAACCAATCACTTTATTAATTTTGGCATGAAACTGGTAAGAGCTGAACAAATTTCAACAATATCACTTGCTCTAGGGAAAAGGGATACTGGCAATGTTTGTTTCATGATTTGAAAGTTATTTATTCCTTTAAATAGCTCTTTCTATGTGAATTTGTAGAGATGAAATCTGTCGTGCACTTTGTACAAGTCGACCTGGAAGTTGCTTGTGACCAGCGGTGAAGGGAGGCATTATAAGTATTGCTCCTTTTGTTGCAAGATTCTGGGCAATGGTGAAACCTATATTTGCCATAACCACATCCTCATGTTCAAGTTTGTCATAGAATCCAGATCCAGCCATTACGTGAAATGCGACCACCCCAGCATTTAGACTCAAACAATACAGTGCAATAAGGTGTTATTTCAACCAGAAATTTCAGCGTATAGTGATGTTTGTAGTTGCTCCAGATTTTGGAAGGAGTGGTGAGATTATAGGGATGATCAGTAAAAATTTCACTACAGTCAGTAATGACTTGGCAGTTGGAATATTTTTTCTGAATTTCTGTGGAAGATTCCTCATAACTTTTTTTTTAGTTGGCCAGTGAATGAAAAACCTTAATGAGCAGCTAAAATGGGGATGCAATTATTCATGATTTTTGAAACTGTGGAAGATGAAATATGAAAACGATATCTTAGATCTGTGTTTTTCTTAGTTTCTTGAGTATAAGCATGATTTGATCAGCTTTGTTGATTGAAGAGATATTTGGTTTGAAGCTCGACACAAGACTGAAAATAAAGAGGAAAACCTATTTGCTGGGAACTCCCATGAAAAAAAGCGGCACTTCTTATTAGTCAGAGTACTAGATGACACTTTGTTTTTATCCAGTTCTTCTTTAAGTCTGTCATGATCTCTTCACAGGGCATCGACCTCAAGTTATAAACACTAATTGCTGTGCTCTGTAACTTCTGCAAACTGTTTTTGTGTATTTTCTAGCTTGGCTTGAATCTCAAAGACATCAGGTTCAGCCTGCTGAGTGCAAAGCAAAGGGGCACACTCTTGTGAAGCATCAGTGATGTCTTTATCAGTTATAGGTTTCTTACAGTGCCTTTTGTGTGCCTCATGATTGAGCAAAGATATCTGTCTCTCTTTCCCTTAGCATCTTTCCTTGTTGGCATTAATGTTAGAAATGAAAACAAGCTTGGGACATAATCTGGGTTATCAAATAGTTTTCATATAATAAGACAAGATAATAATAATATTAATTTAATAAAAAAATAAATTCAATAACAACAATCTCTAATCTATTTGTAGGTATTACTATTATTTGGATGTGGCAGTCAGTATCTGTAGAGCCTGCATGTAGCCAAGTAGATCTGTAGGACTTAATCTGATATAAAATGTGCAGAGCAGACTCTTTCGTGTCCTTTTGTTGTCATTTCTTGGATTTCTTGCCATAAACACTTCTTTTCAGCATTTTCATGTTTTTCTGTGGATGCAGGAAGATGATATAAACCTATTTTCAAATTATTTTGTCTGTTAACACAATTTATAACACAAAACTGGTAGGAATATTGTTAGGTTGTTTTACCTACCAACATAGCATTTTCATCCTTAAAACATGAAGAGACAACTAACTGGTCTTTATATTGTATTTGTTTAATATAACAATGAATTCAACCTGTTTTATGATTTACTAGTATGTTGAATTACAGTTAAGCATAAAGTACCATTACAAGTCCTAAGCCTAATCTAACATTGTAGTACAGGTTACACAACTAAGCTTTACCCCTACTATTTTTATTTACCGATCATACTAACTCTAGTTATTTAACCCAAATAATAATATTAATATTAGATAATATTCAAAAATCTATAACAGTATAAGACCTTAACTTTCCAATGTCTTCTTTATCCTGTAGCACTTTCTACCATTTGCAGTTTTTACTTTGTGTGGTGATTTGTTAGAAAAATTATATTGAGTGATAAGTTTATTTTTATGATTTTTTCTTAAATTCTTCTATACTACTTTAATGATTTTGAAATGTAAAAGGTGCCAACTTGATTTATTGAAGTCTAATCATTGACAGAAGGAAATGTGCAAACACGTACAAAAGTGTCAAAATTGGTATCTTAATGTGTTTGATGTGCATATTAGTTGTGATTAAAGAAAATATTTAAGTTCCAGTGTTCAACTGTTTTGTTTTTGTGTATTTAAATAATATGTATAGTCGGACTATACTATATAAATTATGAAGGCCAACAATCACAAGCATATGCAATATGTCTTCACCATGCATCTTATTCAATAAGATCCTCAGAATCTGTATATAAAAAGCACACACAAAAATCTGTCTATTTATCTGTCTGTTATCTGACTACTCCTAGGTCACTGGGCCAATCTCAACCAAATTTTGTAGGATGATAGTTTGGAACAAGGGACATGTTAATGGGGGTTCACAACCCCTTCACTCTCCATTTTTGCTGTTTTTGAGCATTTATTATCTTTGACGTAAATTAACGTTAACTACTTTCATAGACTGTACTACATCTTTACACTGAAAAAAAAAACTTTATTAAATTTTCTATAATATAGCATACACACAGTGTGGGGGAGGGCACTCAAACATCTTGTATGTTTCAGAGAGTGTGCTACCACTCTCTATGGAGGAATGTAGTGTAAAAATGACCACACTATTGCAATAATACTTGAATTCAGCTGAAGTTTCTACTTCAACAGTTGCCTTAAGGCTGATATAAAGAGCCATTTCTGGAGTTGATCAACTTCCTACTTTGACCTGTGACCTTTCAACTTTGGCCCATGAGAAACTTATGCAGCCAGTGAATGTTTATTAATTAATCACATGAAACACTGTGAAAATACTTCAACAGCTGGTTGAAAGTGGGTAATAGGAAGCATCTCTACTGCCACTACTTTGACTGCCTCCTTTTCCTACAAAATTACCCTGACCATCGCACACTGTATACCATGTTTTAAGTATATACATATTGAGTTGTTAAAGCTTGTACAAAACTTTTGATGAGGTAATAAATAATATGTTATGTTATAAATAAATTGTGTGAAAGTGAGGATTTCTTTTATTTATCATAGCATTCACCCACACATTTTTTTTAACTTCATAACATGGACAAAGGATGGGTATCTTGGCTTGTACAATATAATTCAAGAGAGAATCTATTCAAGACAGAAGTAGGGGGCATAATTTACAACATACTGGTACTTACTTCGGAGGGATAGACACTTACAGTATCATTTTGAGACTTCTTTGTGAGAAAGCTATATTGTAAACTAAATTGTGACCTTATAATAAGCAGGACTGTCAATTTCTGAGTAAGTAGATTTATTCAAAATAACCCAAACTTTACAAGTATTTTTTGGGGTAAACTAAACCTATACACTGTGTGAATCAAAATGCTATTAATAACAACCTCTTTTAATATTTACATATGCAATGTCTTTAGGTTTATAATTTCTTATTACATTCATTGCACATTGTTTTTTACAACTGACCCCTGTAAAACCAGAGGCCTGGGCGAATGAAACCTGGTTATGGCGTAAAGCCCGCAAAGCATCTTTAGGCTATATCTTCATTTAATGATACAAAACATAGTTTTTGGCTTTTTTATGCATATAGATGCTTGATACATTAAGAACGACTGAAATAATAATTTGAGTAATAATTAATATGTATTTGTTATAGATTTAATAGATATTTGTTGTTACTTTATTAACATTTTTATGGTTATACTGTGAGGTAAAAACGGCTGCTGCTATGATTTTGTCTGGTTTATGAGCTCGTTGCTGTCCTAATTTAGTATCTTCTTTTTAATAAATTATTGAAAATGTTAAAAAAGAGAGAGAAAGGGGGCCCAGCGAGGATGTTTCCCCCGAGGCCCATGCTGGCTCTCGACATAAATAATAATAATAATAAGAAAATATTTTTTGGCCAATTGGATCAAGGTATATATAACCTCCAAGTTTCAAGATGGTTGGCCCAGAAATATAATTGGTGCACAATTGTAACTATTTGAAAGAAGAAGCAGAAAGGAGCATAGGAAGTACAGTATTTCTCCCCCCTCTATGGGGGAGACATACAAAGATGATATGAATGAAATGGATAGAGGAATATGCCTTTTTGAAAAGAACAACAGTGTGAGCCCTGTCCTTTCCCCTTATTGCTACTGGTAAGAATTGAAACCATGTTCTTAACTCCTTCAAATTTTGGGTGTTTAGTGATTTGTAGTGTAATCTGTAAGTTTATTAAATATAATTTTATTTTAAAAACATATGTGCTTTACATTTAGTTTAGTATATTATTCTGTTGCTGAGAGGTCAAATATTAAAAAGATGTTTTTAGCTAATGAAACTTTTAGGAGTAAAAAATAATGATAATGAGCAAGAAAACTTTACTTTTGATGATTAATGAATAGTCTTTTATATTGTAGGTGACATATCAATTGAAAATTTTGACAACAGCCTTTTTTTCTGTCACAATGTTGCATAAACGTTTGGAGATACAACAGTGGCTATCTTTGGTGCTTTTAATGACTGGAGTGGCACTTGTTCAAGTATGATGTTATTTTGATAATTTTGTATATACTTGTATACAGTATGTTTATATTGCTGTAATTATAATTCCTAATAATATTTTGGAGTCATATTTGTGAACTTTTAAGGAAATTATATGGGATTTATTTACTTATTAATGAAAAAGTTAAAAATTCTATAACGTACAAAGGTTAGTTCTTCATAAAAAGTTATATGTTAAGGTTAAATTATATTCAAATTTTGCTTTATTAATAAAAAGTACAAGACAAAGAACTATTTAATTAAACTTTGCCTAGAGTGTAATTTGCATGTTATGTTACCTTATAAAAGTATGCAAAAAAATATACTGTTATATTTCACTTTTTGGTCTCAGTTTAACCTGATGATTACAACATAATGAAAAGAAATTAATATATATATATATATATATTATATGCAGATTTATTATGCTTCAGCTATTTATGGGTGTAATGTTTATATTAGATTAACATTACTCATTAAATTATTTGTCAGTTGCCATACCAACTTAATATCTTGAGACACTGACAGATTGAATATTGGAACAAACAATAAAAATTTGTAAATTTTAATTTCATATAACATGTTACATAAGGACAGCTAAATATTTGTCAAATTTTGATGAACAAATCACAGTTTTGACTTGGGCACTGTTTTGAGGTACTGTGAAGTGGATTTTTTTTTTCCGTTGTTTATGAAATATTTATACTAATATGTGCATAATTTGAGTTTTTGTAATAATTGTTCATTATTCAGAATATATTATGAGAGAGTTTGGTGGTCAGTTCTTAAACGTTGATATCAGAAATACTGCTCACCTCTTTACAGGACAAACAAGTTTTATCTTGTGCCACTGCCAAGATTTTTGTGCATGCCACAAAACCTTGAACAAAGCTCCCATCCTCACATGCATTAACATAGACTGCAGAAGCCTATGACATAATCATTAGACTATATCCCTCTACCAGAAGGAGAACAATGCATCCTCTATATACAGTAAACCCCATAAGTGCTAGCATTTCAACAAAGGCTCATTTTTCCCTTTGCCTTCTTGTTTTCATGTTTTCACTCTGTTTCTTTGTTTTCAAAATAACAGGATTTTTGCATTGCATATGTTACTTTTAAATTTCGTTTAAAACTTATGGTCTAATTCTTCTTGTTTTGCACTCAAGTTCTTTTACTTTAAGCTAAATGTACTTCAACTAAGAGAAAAACGATTTCCTCGATCATTTCAAAGATGAATTCCAGTAACCATTTCTGAGGTCCTAACACTTCACATAAGGACCCCTCTTCTACTGTTTAAATGGTGACTTAAGGCACTGTGATGTTAGCACTGTGTGTGTGCCAGGTTGTTCATTGTGTTCTGCCTTCTTCATTTCAGATCCAGAATTCTCGACCCCCTACTTCGGTCGCTTCAGCTGAGTCTCCCTTATGTTTTGATGATTTTGATCCACTGATCCCACCATCTGCTTTTGCTGCTTTTCCTGATGAGGAACAAGTAACCATACTTTCATCCTTTGCTACTTTGATTACTCTGCTATGTGGCATTCTTTTACCAATCTGATCACTCGCCTCCGTACAGAGAGAGTGAGCTATTATCCTCAATAAGTCATGCTATCTGTGTGAGATACTTCCATTTCACCTGCTTTGTAAAGATTTGCATCTAAAATGTATGTGAAAACACATGAATTTGCACTATTGCAGGAGTGTAACACACCTCCTTGTACAAATCGTCCCTCTTATACTCTTTCTTGGCACAATTATGCAAAGATGTGTTAATTTTTGTTGAGACTTGTCGCAGTATTTCACTTTAGTTACTTTAGTTTGTATTTTCAACTTATCAGTAGGAATTCACAATTTAATGTGAATCCTTCTTCAACATGAGTGAGTGAAAATAACACAATTAACAGTTTATCAACAATTCTGGAAGTTCCTTGTCTGTTCAAGACATGACAGCCATTGTCCAATGTGTGGTGGGCCCATGGTGCGGCCACAAACCTTTTTTTTCAGCCACTACTACCCATTTCCCTTCACGTTATTTTGAAAATGATGTTGAGGAGGATGACTTTTCCCACCTCCTGGCTTTGATTAAGAACCTTCATGCCATCTGAAGAACTTGTTTAGTCCTTTTAAGGTTTCCAAGAACTCATTACCTAGGTATGTACTATTCTTTCTCTGTCCCCCAGAACTTATGATGTGCTTCCCATTGTCTATTACACAACTCACCCCTTGCAGTTTCTTTGTTTTTCTACTTTCCATTTATATTTCTGACCATGCTAACTCCTTTCTCGATCAGCTTCATTCACATAATATAATGTTACAAAATCCTGTGTCCAGTACAGGTTGTTCATTGTCATCTCTATCATACTTCCTGCTTCAGGGTTTTCTGACACTTAGAACCCCCTATTATATTGAAGACCTTTCTCCCTTCATTCTTACCAAATGGATCCAACAACTCTTACTGATTGCTCACTCTTCCTTGGAGTGGATAGTTGACAATTATTTCGATTTTCTTTCACCAGTTTCATCATCTGACACATTCTCTGGCAGTTCACTATCATTGGCCACTTGAAGAGATTATCCAGGCTGGCATGTGAACTACTCAACACACATTTGTCTCCCACTATCTCCACCATCTGGCTATCTAGTCTCCAGATGGATACAGACATCCACCAATTCCCATTCTTCAATTGATCCTGTGCCTTTAACTCTCTCAACATGGGCTCGGTCAATTTGACCGACCACTTGACCTCTTTGCACTCATTTAAAGTCTTTGTATAATTAATACTTCTTTTAACATACTGTGTATATCTTCACAAAATTTGGCAGTCTTTCAGTAAACATTATAAGTCTTTCACATACAAAAAATCATATTTTTAGTGAAGTATTTTTAATAAACTAAAAATAGATTTGTCCTTAAATATATTGAGTATTTGTTTTGAATAGTCCATGTGCAAAGTGATTTTCATGTTAAGATTAAAAATACTTTTCTTCATCTCAAAAATCTCAAATTTCATTTGTGTAATCTCCAAAACTTCCTAAATACATTTCAGATGTTTGTTTTCAGTAAAACTTTATATTTTATGGGTAATTTTATCTACCATAACTCTATACAAGGTTGATCAATTTGGCTGACCTTGTTACCACCAAAAAAAGAAAATCTAAATAAATCTAAATTACCCTTTTTTTCTTTCCAGAATGACTTCAAATTGTAACATGAAACTACATTAATTTATCCTAAGTAGTTCTAAGTTTATAACAGTATACATATATTTGAACCGTGTCTTACTACTGTCTGCTCCATTATAAGTTGTAAATCACTCTGGGAATGTGCAACTCACGTTATGCTATCGAATTACATTAACCACAAGTTACTACCTTGTGAACCATTTTAATTATATTATTATTATTACTTATTTTATCTAATCTAGTCTTAAATAACTTTAAAAGATCCGTGTTTTTAGATTTTAGTTACTTTTATAATAATAGATAAAGAATAAATATGAAAAACAAGAAATAAAGTACTTACCCAATCTTCTTTTTTCTTGCTTTCGAATTTTCGAAGAGAGTTAACCCTAATTTTTTATACTATAGATAGTAATGCACTTAATAATTTTTATCTAATTAAATAATGCGCCAAAGAATATAGACTAACAACATACAAAAAGTTGACAAATTCACTTACCTCTTAAAATTTTCCTGGTTTTCTAACTATGCGACATGAGCCATTAAAAATTCATCCAACCTAGTTGTTAACTTTCTCATGGGAACAATATTTGTACTCTGAATGAAATTGACATTTAACCATTCAGAACATAACATTATACAATACATCATTTGATTTCTATTGGTTATAGGTAATGAAATGTAAGAGAGAACTATCAACAAATTGTGAAAGAGAGGATGTGACATGTGGGTGTAGCAGGAGGGGTCTGATTTTCTATTTGATAGCTCTGTAACAAAACAAAATTGAACAATATAAAAATTATGGTTTGTCTGAGCAATAACAAATTTATAGAGTTTAATTTAGTACTTTTTGGAGGGGTGTTGGATAAAATAGGGATGATGACATGCTAAGAGAAAATGTCACGTAGGTCACACTAGTGGAAATTCGGGATTTCTTTAAATATTGACTTGTAGAATTAAGAACTTAAAACTTGTATACTATTAAATTAAGGATTATTAGCTAAGATTTTATGCTATTCTAATTGGTATAACATAAACAAAAAGTAGTTTAATAAAATTTTGAATGTAAGACACTAAACCTTTTGGCGATACCTGGGGCGATAGGGTTAAAGAATTTATCTATTTAAAACATACCATATTGGCCTGATTATAAAGCAATGTTTTATGATTAATAATTAAGATATAAAATTCATAGTTGCCTTATAATCACAGCTGACCATAGACCCTTTCTCCCTACTTTAACCTGTCGCATTCTTGAATGTCCGGATAGCATTCGTCTATGCATACACATCAGATGTTCACTCAAGGTCATTACTAATTCTTGTAACTAAACTAATCCACCTGCAGGCTGTTCAGTTATAATATTAATTTTGCAAACCTGAAAAAGGATGTTTTGACACTTAATTTGTATTCTTTCCCATGGTTTCTGAAAATGGGGTCGCTTTATATTTGAAATTGCCCTGTAATTGGGCCAATATGGTATACCCTTTTAATATATATATAGTATTCCACTAAATAATGCATCATATGTGAAAAAAAAATGACTTTGGCCTTTGGCTCTTATGATACAGCACATGCTTCTTACGTGGGAGGTCGAGGATTCAGTCCCATCTACATGCACTTATGCAGGAGGAATTCAGCAAAAACCCCTATTTTTGTGATGTAAAAAAATTATGCATATATAGTTATAGTACAACTCTTTTTGGTACTTAACATTTTCTACACAGTTCCATGCAATGGCTTTTGTTGACACTTTGTAATTGAAATTCTGAAGCCGTATTGCTACTGTTAGGTTTTGCAGGCAGGAATCTTTACAGTAGGTTTCTGTGATTTGTTGGTGATAAATTGCAAAAATTAACAAAGAGCAACATAGTCCATTTCTTTTCAAATAATATATTAAAACAAAAGTCAAACATATATACAAAAGTTTGTTACACTATTGGTTATCACAATTATATCCACAGCTTTAAATAATTGTCTCTTTTTTTGTCAAAATCCACACAAACTTGTTCAATTACTTTAGAACATAATTGATGAGATTAATTATTCTTCTCTGCTTTATATTATATTACACTCTGTGATAATTGCCACTATATACTGTCTATTGCTAAACTCACTATCATTCAAAGAGATAAAGTCTTAGTAAGATGATGCAACAATATAACAATTGCTAACTCATAACAATTGAATGTACATTTTACACAATGTATTATTTGTAAACAATTGCATAAACAAACGTGCCATAAACTCTCACTTCTAAAAATACTAATATGACACCCATACTATATAAACTATTCAAATAATAATGCTGGCATTAAACATAAACTGAAACAGTTGTGTATATCTAACAGCTACTTGTGGTTTTGAGCACAAGCAAGCTTCGTTGTGTCACGGAAATAGTGATTGAGGGTTTGATATTTAAGCATTTTTGTAGGTTATTATTTTCATACAAGGAAGGAGCTGAGAATTCTACTAATCTTAAACCCATTTGAAAATTACCTGTTGTACAAATAAGAGTCTGGCTCGTGAAACTACATAGTATACGATATTTTACCTAGACCTTCAACACTGAACAAAGTAAAGTGCCTACATGATTGCAGCAATACACGAATGTTTTTTTTCCCGGCAAAAGGAAAAGATTGCCATATGATGAACAAGGTACAGTACTATGTAGCTTTGTTCCTTTAATAGCTAATATAGCATTTGACATGCAATTGGAATAGCTACCTTGTGTTGTGCTATGCATATGTATGGTGTTATAAATTACAAAGTTTGTGTTTAATCCATGAATACCTCTACATGATTTTATAATTTGTCTATATATATATATATAGATGAGTACAACAACTATCTTTACAATAGGTTTTATGCATCATATAAACTGCAGTGTTATGTTAAGGCTATTTACTTGTTGCCTCTTTAAAATTGCTATATATTATCGTTTTCAAAAACTGCTAATGATACAACTCAGTCACTCTCAGTCTTTCTCTGGTGCCAGCGATAAATGTGAAGCTTAAGGTTGACACTATTGAGCTATATTCTCGTAGTGATGACATTGATGATATGCAAGCTGGTTTGCTTGAGCCTCACACTGCTTCAAGCACTGACAAATCCATTCTTCCTGGACCATCATCATGGTGTTTCTGTAGCCACTGAGCCATGCATTGACATTGACAATTTATTGACACCAACAAAATCACTTGTTGAAAAATGCCAAGCTATTACTAATCTATCAAATGCTGAAAAGTATTCCTATCTTTATAAACATGTAACACCACTAAAAGTTTTTCCTACCACCTTTTCTCTTGGGTTTAACAGCAAGTTTCAAATAACTTGGTTTGAAAAATGCCCATGGTTATTATACAGCCCAAAATTGGATGGAATTTTTTACGGTCCTAGTGCTACCCTTCTTCTAGTGTATAGTAAACATGATAAAGTAGTACTTGTCAACAAATCATTTAACAACTCGGTAAAAATTAGTGATACTTTAAGCAACCATTCTAAGCTGGTTTATCATTGTGATTGTATGCAGGTTGCTGATACTTTGAAGTCTTCAATTGAACATCCATCATCCAGTAGAATTGATATTATTACCAACAATGCCCTTCAATCAGGTATAACTCATAATAAACATATTCTTCACCAAATTGTTTGTGCCATTTTGTTTTTAGGATAACAAGGCTTTGAAGATGTAAATTTTTCTAAACATCCTGGCAATGTTTTGGCTTTGCTGAAACATGATGCTGAAAATGATGAGAGCTCATTTATATCATTCCATGGCAAAAAATGCTACATATTTATATTCCTGCCGAGAAAATGACATCATCAGTGTCATAGGACATGATGTAATTTGAGAAAATATTATTGATGAAGTAAAAAGACTGGTTTTTACTGATGAAGTGTCTTCTCACAATGTGGAACATTTACCATTATGTCTCCACTTTGTAGATGACAATTGTGAAATTGGGGAAAAATGTATTGGCTTTGTTAAGCTACAGAGGGTCAGAGCAACAGATATTGTATGTACAATTACAAAGATATTGACTTGATGTTGGATTATCTCTAAATGAATTGTATGGTCAAGGATGTGGTGGAGCATCCTCCATGGCTGGTGAAAGATCTGGTGTCCAAAAACAAATTTGAGATATTCAGAATAAGGTCTTGTACACTCATTGAACAGATCACTCACTTAATCATGTTATTATAAACTTATGTTCGGTTCCACCAATAAGAAATTGTATCAATCAATTTAAAATAATATCTATTTGGATTAAATCCTTACCTAAACATGGGATCTATAAAAGGCAATCTATCAAAAGGGCATCCAGTATGGAGCAGCTTCATGACATCTTCTACTACTCAATGTGTGCATTACACGCTGTGTTGAGAATATTGAAGTTTGGGAAAGTTTCTGTTTATGTCATTCATCCTTTACAATGTTCCCTTTACTATTTGAAAGAAGCTTCTGTAAATTTGCAATGTCCAAGCTATGACATTGTTTCTTATGTTTCCCTTATAGAACAATGCTGTAAAGAACTGACTTCACTAAGAGTGAACATAGATGATTATTCACACCGTATCTTCAAACACAGTAGTAATATTGCAAACAAATCTAATATTAATGTTAACATGTCATAAGTTAGTCAACGACAAGCCTAACGTGCAAATACCGAATATAGTTTCATGGTGGATTACTTTAAGAAAACAGTAACCATTCCTTTTCGTGACAACATTATCAGTAATCTTTCCTCCAGTTTTGATGCACATGTAACGCAAGCAGCATTAATTCAGAAACTTATGCCATCACAACTCACACAAGAGTTTTCTATCTCTGATAACAGACAGGCTATAGTTTTTTAAATGGAAGATTTGCCAAATCCTGATGTTTTTGATGAAGAACTTCATTGAACTAAGACAAGATGGTTTTATATACCTCTCCAGGACAGGTTCCGGGTAATGACTGACTACTTAAAAGCTAAAAGCATGCTTCAGTGTATCAGATATCTTTATGTTGCTAAAACCCTTTGCCACACTGCCATTAAGTTCATGTTCACATCTGCTCTCCAACGGTTGAATAATTATCTGAAGTGTACACAAACCGAAGAAAGACTGAGTGCTCTAGATTTAATACATAATCATTATGACACCGCTATCAACATTAAAACTGTATGTAAGTTATTTATGGAAAAGCACTCCAGAAGAATGGAGCATGCTAATGTGTTATTTCAGTAGTGCATACATGTATGTATGTGATGGCAAAATATCGAATAGTTAATATACTATTGTTGTACACAGTTGTTTAAATTAGTAATATAATTTTACATTAATAACTACTCTGCACGTAGATAGTACAGTACTTTATTGTAATAAAACATACATATTTATGCTGATTTAAGTCTATCTTCCCATGCAGTGTTACAACAGGATGATGATTTGTTGACTTTTCTTTGGATGTTCGTGGATTTTATGTGAACAGCCATGCAACTGTTTAAGCTATATTTCATACAAAATTGCTTCCAGATTTAATTTCATAGCACTTATTTTTTTACAAATTTGTTTGGGGCATGCCCCCAAATTCCTTATAGCATTAGCATGCTTTATATGCTGATTGTGCTTTGCACAATATGTGTTGGCTTTTGATTTCACAAATTAGAACTCCCCTTTCAAACATTTTGTGTACAGGCCTGAATGTTTTGCTAGCTCTTGACATTTAAACACTATTATATTATTGTACTCCATATATAAACCGTATTTCAGAACACCTTTTATCTCTCATCCAGCCCAACTGTTATGTACTGGTATTGAATGAAAGGCTTCTTGGGCATTAACTTGTCAAAAACAAAGAATAGATCTGAAATGCTACTTTAACATGGCTCTGACTTTCAAACTGCAGTGGATAAACTAAAAGAAATATGAAAAAAAAACATACAGTTAACAGGACTTTTTATCACCAATTTTAGGCCTATTAGTTTCTAATGTTTTGCTAGCTTTTGGCATTTAAATTCTAACTCTGAAATAACTGTTTATTAAGACTGTATAACTTACAATGAATGCAATGTGTGATCACAATTTTAATCATAATTATTAATACCTATATTTTGTTAAAGACTAAATTATATTATTTTATTTATTGGTTTATTCTCATGTTCACTCAGATCTATGATTTTCTCAAGCTGAATTTTTTATTATCAGAAAGTATAAAAAAACTTTTTGGCTTTTTCTAGTGGCCAGAAACAGCATCCAGTAACTCATCAAGTGTAACTGTAGATCACAACATGACTTCTCAGTTTATTGGACTTTTAGCAGTTTTTGCTGCATGTTTCTCTAGTGGATTTAGTGGGGTTTATTTTGAGAAACTTGTGAAAGGAACACCTCAGTCTCTCTGGATCAGGAACATTCAGTTGGGTAAACTCTATTAACACTTTATTATGAATATTTCATTATAAGTGAAATTATTATGAATATTTCATTCTCTGTTTATTATTTATAGAAATAATGATATGTGTGTTATATTGGAATACCATTAAGTTAATAGAACCAAAATTGTAAACCTAGAGTGGTTTTCAATTCCTTGACCCTAGGTTTAAGCTAGAACTGTATACCAAATATAAACAATGGGCTTAATAAGTGTTGTATTCAATTATATTCAAGCTTTTATTTAGTGATTTTCAACTTACAGTTTGTGTTAAACAGTTAACTAATAAAGGTTTTTTTATCATACTATTATATTAGTACTATTATACTAAAAGAAAAAGGAATAGCAATGAATAACAGAGCTGCAGTCACATTTTTCGAAGATATACATACATACACTAGAAACCAAACTCTTTGACACACACACACACACATATATATATATATATATATATATAATAAGAAC